GCCCTGGGTGGTAAGATGTTGTATGAAGTCGCCAGGAGAGTGTACTGTCTAGTCTTGGTGTGAAACATAAACCATCAACGTTTAACTGGTATTAGCCATAGTATCAAGTTAACATACTTACTAGATGTTGGGTATTTCGTAGTCGTCTATGAGATCGTGTGACATGATTTCTCCCAGGATATGGAGAAAACTGTGCCCCTCGTATTTTCCCTGAACTATGAACCTGTTGACCATGTTGGTGTAGACCATACTCTCCTTCTGCTCTGCAGACGCATCTTCTAACGCCTGCATGGGACGGAAAGCTCACAATGTGTACTACGCCTTTCATCATTGTGATCGGGTTTGACCTTATTGGTCAGGGTAACCGCTCCTTACTGGGTGATATACCATATCGTTAGCTTAAGGAGTGGGACCATAGCTTCTTCCAGGCTTCGGGAGGCGGCTGGAAAGAGTAGAAATTGGCCAAAACAGAGAGAAACATGCAAAAGGGGTTGGTCAGCTGGAGAGTACAGTTTGCCGCACCGAAGTCTGGTAGGGGCTAAGTGCGCCAAGCCTCCGTCAAACTGACTTTTTATACTGCATAGGGTTTGCTATACAATACTTTTATCTGTTTTGTGTTTACATGAAAGTGAATAGTTTCATCGCAAAGCTGGAAATTGTACTAATTTCTTTGTACTATTATTTAAAAAAATATACGTCTCGCCAGTACAATCTCACCAATATTTCCCATTCATGGACGTACATGTATACTATTTAGAACATATACTAGTACCTGTTTGTATAATTTTTCTAGCGTCTCCCGGTTGAGGTATTTCGACAGCTCCAGTCCACCGTCCAGCTCCTTCTGCACGGCGTCGGCGTCGTCTGCCAGCAGGGCTTTGTCCATGGCGGCACTAGTGGAGGGCTGTAAATACACATGGGAAAATTGGTCGTCAATGTAACACCCAGAAAGATTATTTATAGACATCGATGGCTTACTACTAAAGTCAAAGAACCCACATATTATAGAAGAAGTGGTAAATTCGTCTTCCATTGCCTAAAAAGAAGAAGTCAAACCCAGTAAAACTAGTGTCATGTCATGTTGTATCAAATAGTATAATGTTAGAAGTAGATATAGTCTCACATATCACTGTATTTTCTTTCTATGTTGTTTGTAACTGCAATTAGCCCTCGGGCAAGTATTTGCAATAAACTTTCTATAATGAGCAGCTATGATACTACGGTTAAGTCTTCCAAGGTATGGGCAGAGGCCAAAAAGCAATTTCCCTATAGAAACCATTCATGTTCAATTTTCTGTGACCATGTCAGTCACAGGTAACGTTAACGGTTGACGCCCTCAATAGTCACGTGCTCTGCGCACATGCTGAATACGTCACGATGTATGACCTTAGAGATCGGGAAAACCGTTTTTGTCACGAGGTCACATGTACTGTATTTTTGACACCGTAAGTATTTCTGACACCGCCATTTTGAATGTCTTCGTCAGTAGAGCGGCAAACCACTAAGACAGTCATGATGTCATGATGACATTGTACACCGGTACTGGGTACTTTATATATAGCATAATGTATTTTAATGATGATAATGTCCAGCTTCGTTAGTAGAAACCTGATACATGTATAGACTCAGGATGTCACGTCTCATACTATATCACCTACTCTGCTATAATTCAAAACAGTCTAGTAGAACCTAGCTGGGTTTGAGCTAAGAAATGCCCGACTACCTGCACACACACACAGACATAGTACTATACACACGGACGTAGCCAAAGAAAACTATATCTGTAGCATTCCACTCAATGAGACAAGCGACCTTACAGGCAAGAGTAGGCAATAGTATAGGGTTTCAGAGGAATCCGAGTGTCTTCTAAACATATACATATACTTGATGGGCCTGGCAATTCTTTCCGTGGAAGACTGGAACGGAGTTTTAAGGTTTTCTTACTCTCCACTACTGCTCTGTGGAATGTAGACATCTTCGCCATCTTTTTCTAAGGCGCCGAGTCAAGTGCACTCTAAGCCAGTCACTACAAAAAGTCTTAAAGATGTATGTTTGCTTGACATTCAAACTATATCTTAGAAATGATTCTCCATTGAGACGGAAGGGAGGACGACAGTGAACGTGAGACAATATTTGGACACTTACCCGGTTGCCACGAAGCAAAGTTGCGTTGGTAAATGACCTTTCAACTTTGACACGCTTACGCATGACTTGATGACAAGAATAGTGTACACATTGAACCGTTGAACTTCAGGAGTTACGCCCTACTGGGTCGGTCATGCTGCATTGCTTAACTTAAAACTCTCGTGACAAACACGAGTCTATTCTTCACCTAAGGGTAGACTTTATTCATATCAGATTTAGAAACAACGTGGGGAAATATTTCATTCTCTTACACTTTACAGTAACTCCCTAATGTAACGTTACACCAAATCCCAACTCGAAGTAGAATCGGTAACCGTCATTTTTAGATTATGATATATGCCAGGCTTTAGATATAAAACAAATGCTAGCTATATGCTGTGTGCTCCAAATTATTTGCTTATATCCTACTGGAATTTATTCTGACACATCATGTAACGTTATCCCTCTATTCATTATAACAGTAATAACAGTAATATTTATTGCACTTTCATAAGGTTAACCTACGGAATGCAGTGTATGGGATAGGAATAAGCTTTTTTTTATGATCATTGACGGAATTTTTAACGTCTAGACATTATCTCATTAGCTGTAGATATCTTTGTTTATCATCAATATATTAAGCTAACCCTGACATAGATGTGATTCTGTACTTACATCAGCCGCAGCAGGTTCCATGGGTACTACAGCGGAGTCGTCTTTAGCCGGGTCGGGCTGAGGGGGCGGTGTGGGTTCTTCTGTGTCCGCCATGACAGGGACGGTTCTCTCTAGCTCTGTATAGCGCCCTTAACCCACGTGTTCTTTATGTATACATCCACCTTCTGTAAAGAAACTGCAGGTTATTATAACAATATGACCTTCTAGATGTCCCCACGACCGGTATGCAAACACAGTGTCATTCGCCCTGGAGCATAACGTGATTTACTTGGTATGTCTTTCTTGTGATTTACTTGTGTTCCTACTACCAGTCTCACTTTAACACGACGAATATCCTTGGTAGAACTAACTGATCAGCGGTAAAATTCTAACATAAATTAGTCAAACTTGACTAGCTACAAGCAAGGACAGTATCTGTATAATGTCCTTGCTATATATATACAAGCAACAATCTCTGGAGGCACCGGGATGGTACATTATACTATCGTGTTAACTGTGTCCTTATTCAGCCTTCAGTTAAGTATACTGTGTCACAGTCACTATAGGACAAACCTAATGTTATGCTCTTAACGTAAAAAAACGCTGTGGCATAAACTTTGCTGTGGTATTGAATCCTCCAACTACAGTATTTATTTGAGTCTCTGAAACATCTTTTCAATGTACCAACCACGTTCAATGACCCCTCAACGTCTTATACACCCCCCTCCCCGGCCATACCACTTTTCCAAATGCTTCACTAAGTTACTGATAGCACAGTTAATCAACTAGACTACTGACAGCTCATAGCCACAAACAAATAAACAAACAAACAAACAGATAAACTTACAGTTCATGAACTAAAAGCCAACTCACCTTTCTGTGACCGCCATGCACACCCACTTTCACCAAGTATTTACGGCTTATTAGAGTAAAACTAGCAGACCTTTGACATCTGCCTATTCAACTGCCTTTCTCGCGCAAGGTCGGTTAAAACAACACCTGGAGTTATTTTCTCGAATATTTACTCATAAATCGCTAATTTATGGTATTACGTTGGGATGTATGGTTCTAGGATGTAATAGATAAAGGATTTATAGTGCTGCAACAGTCCCAAAATTAATGGAAAGTCTATCAAAATACGAATCCGTCAAACAAATCGGAGCAAGTTTTGTGCAGAATATTCCCCGAGGGCGCGAATGACTGAGCCCAACCGGTTTTCTCAGATCACGTGACATACATCTGTGCATGGAACGCATAGTATCAACAGCATCTGGGCGCTTTTCTAGCATATAAAACCGTTCTATATTATGTTTATGGTAGTTGTTGGAAAACGGGCGCATTCCGCGGTTGTACAGCCTATTTAATCAAATCCGCCTTATCGTACTTGTATTATAATAGAAAATCTTTGTTGCTGATGTCAACAAAGTCGCTAGAAGTCGCGATTGTGGTCCTTACCAAGTTTTCATTCGTCAAGGGCGCCATCAGACTTCTGAAAGTTTGTACATGAATGTAAAAAACGTCAGTCTGCGTTGTCTAATTTTTACTGTGAGAACTTTTTATTGACTATGTACATTATGCGACAGTCTTGAAATACTGCATCATGTATGCTGTAATGTTTTAAACTTGTACTATGTATGTTAAAACTGTCCTCTTGCATAATAAGTTTAAGTAAAATATACATCAATTTGAGCATTAGCAGTTTAAGATAAGATAACCAGAATATTTACAAGCGATAAAAGATAATGACTTAATGTAGGAGGTCATATGTACTGATGGCAAAGTGATTGCAATTGTCTGTTAAGAAATTTAACTAGTTCTTCAAATGATTCCTTTTATATATAATTTAGCGTAATATCCTTGTGTAGTTACTATACTTACTGGTTAGTACTGTTAACATGCTATTTATGCTATGTCATAACGTGACTCGTGTATTCCTATTTTGATCCTTGAATAAAATGGCATTTTAGAAATTAAATTAAGAGAAAGCATATATTGTAGCCGTCAGAATTGTTTTACAGTGAAGTTCAATGTTGCACTGTTTTCATTCCCTTAGAATACCACATAAATCAAAAACAAGAAGACTGGCAATGAAAACATACATTGCAATGGCGACGGTGGTTGCTGTTAGGGTTTTTGTTTGCATGATATGTTTGTTTGTTTGTTTGTTTTTATTTATTTAACCAGGGGGATACATATCGCCCGTGGGGCGCTTTTCAATATACTGCCATAATTTCATAATTTTGATGAAGTCTTGGTATCAGAAACAAAACTTCTCACTCGGTGAGATAGAAATATTCACTACAGCACTCAGTTAGGACCTTTACAGCTTATGGTTGTAATCCGGATCCGGAAGGTCGACCACGTTAGGCTGAAAGTAGTGGGCCAAGTCGGTGTACTTCGGCGGTGGGTCGTTCTCACTTTTCTTGCGCAAGCCTTGGTACACACTGTGGCGTTCATAGGACCCACCCAGAGGATGGTACGGGTCGGTCTGGGGATGGGTGTAGTCGTTGCCTTGGGTTTTACCCTTGTTGCGGAGGCCTTGGTACTCGTGGTGTTGTTGGTAGGAGCCGCCTAGGCGCTGGTACGGGTCGACGGTTTTCCGATCCGGATAGGTGTAGTCGTATCCGGTATCATCGTCGCCAGGTAGACGGCTAGGCTTGTAGATGCAGTTCTTGACGGAACCTGCAAACGGCGCCGGTGTTCGGTCTTTTGCAGCCATCCCGTTCAGGTCCAAGTACTCGTTGTCATCGTGATCATCATCATCATCAGGCGTGTCACCGGCAGGCTTGTGGTTGTGGTTCTTGATCGGATCGGTAGGGGTCGCTCGTTTTAAGGTTGACGGGACCTCGTAGCCGCTGGGGTTATTTATACCTTTGACGCCAATGTAGTCGTTTTCGTTGCGGTTCAGAGGTGGGGGAACCGGTGGTGGGAAAGCAGCTACACTGATGAACCCTTCGTCTTGTATCACTGTAATAAAAGATATTCAAAATATATCTGAAACAGCGAAAAAGTTGCAAAATTGTAGATATGATTACTAGTAAATCATAGAATGGATTGTTACTCAAACGTTTATATGACGAAACGTACTCCGCTATTACACCATGATATATATTTCATACCGTGATTACACAGTACACATTCCTGGTGGCCACAAGCTACGACACATGGCATACCGGGTCACAACACTGTCAATCAAATGAAACCCAATCTCCACCCACTCACTTCCATAGGTTTGTATGATGTGTCCTAGTCAAACATTACACCGTCCTTCCAATTTTGGAATCCAAACATACATACTCCTAAACCAACGCCACCCCAAACAATACTTCCAAAATTAAGATACTTCACCATCGTAGATTTCATCGTCGAAAGCTGGGACCCAAACATACAAACTTCCCCTAAACCGGCGCCCAAAACAATACTTCTGTCCGAAACTCAAAAAAGTTTGATACTTTACCATCATAGATTTCATCGTCGAATGCCGGATTGTCCACGGGATACTGGTTCTCGCGATTGGCTGCTCGATTCTGACGCCACTTCTTAAAACAGTGGAATCCACCAATGGCAGCAGTGATGACAATGAACAGCGCGAACCCAGAAACTGCTATCCCGACCTTAATGGCGAGGGACAGGCCATCTGATTGGCTGGGACTCGTAATGTACGGTAGGGTGCTTTTGATTGGTTGGGTTGTCGTAGAAACACCTGTACAGGAATGGGATCGAATATCATATCAATTGAGGATGAATGTCAATTTTGGATTGTATGTCTTGAATATGTTAATATACGTAAATACACTTACTATCAGCCTTAATACCAGGATTTGACTAGCGAATTGAAGTACATGTGATAAGGGTATGTATACCCTACATGGTATACATATAGGGATGTATATCAAAGATTGTCTAGATGTTTGAAATTCCTTCAATGATTGTAAAATCTCATTCCCATCCCATACCAACTACACACTCTTGTATCAAGTAGGTTAGCCTTACAGATTTGTAGTTTTGTACCAGTAGATACCATACTTTGCACCCTGTACAATTGTTGTGCAATAAAGCTATTGTTAGCTAACAAACTTGATGATCAATCAAAGGACCGTGCAGACACCAAAACACAACCCAACGCAATGCCGTCGTTGGAGTTCAACCTCCCTTACGGACGTAAAGATACCTCACTCTCCAGTGATATGAGCATCACTAACCTGACAGTCTGCAGGACAGCCCATCCCCTGCAAGCGTCTCGCCGTTCTGACAAGCGCACGTCCTCCCTCCGGGGCAAACCAGGCACAACTGTTGGCACCCGCCATTCCCTGTCGTGCAGGCTGATAACAGATTGTATTTTATAATTTATGTGCTTTATTTCGTCAATTATTTACTTACCATGTAAAACAAAATTTGAAAAAAAAAGAGAGACAGAGAGAGAGAGAGAGAGACAGAGAGAGACAGAGACAGAGAGAGAAGAACTTTTTGTGTCTCAGTGTCTGTTCATACCGTTCGTTTCCCTTTGCACCGAGGGTACTTTCTGCACGTGCATCCCCTTCGGACTCCCGAATCCTTCGGAGACCGTTTCCTCCCTCGGAAGACCATCCTTTACTATCCTGAATAAAAAAAAAATTAAAAAATGGGGAAAAGCTTTAGTACTTTCGTATTGTGTTTGGTTCATGAGCGACAAATAGGAGGACAAATTCACAGAGAGCCACCCATGCCCAAAACAATACTTCCGTCAATGAATTAATTATTGTCGTATTGTTCTGTGAACTTTCTTCTGTGTTCTGTGTATCTAGCTAATGTAGTTAAGAATAGAAGCTGTTTACTGTACCTGGCGATTCTGGGGATATTCCAAGCTGACCAGTACACGTAAGAGTCGTCAACAGCGATGTCGAAGAAGGAGGTGACTTCAGTCCGTTGTTTGAGGAGACTCCGTGCGCCACTGGACAGGTCAATGCTCTCGATTTTATATTGACCCGAGTCACACCAATATAGGCGTTGTTCTGGATAATAAGAACAATATGTCATTAAAAAATAGCTTCGTGTATTACTGGGTACGTGTCTTAACTCTTAAGTCTTTAGATCCAGCCGATGCTTTTATACTTTGATACGCTAGGATTTTCTTTGAAGTTGCCCAGATCACAGCACAAATCGTATGAACGCAATCCCTCGACCGAGACGGGGGACGACACTGATTGCCTGGCACCTTTGACCCGTTGCTGACGTCAAACTTCCACGTGACTTTGGGTTGTTTCCATTTGAGAATGACCAGGGAACAGGTCGAAATGTTGTTGGTAACCACTATTCCCCTGAGCTTGTTTTTAGTTCTAGGTCTTATCTATATTATCTACAATACTTACCAGTTAGATCTATCGCCAGGCCGGTTGGGTGTTGTAGATTCTCGTAGACCAGCGTTACCCTTCCCGTTCCGTCCATAGCGGCCCGCTCTATCTTTGGTTGGGAGCCCCAGTCAGCCCAGTACATGTACCTTTAGAAGCGAAAACAGTGACGCTTATCTCCGAGCAGATCATACGTTGGCAAGACAGTGTCCATTGGCCAGAGGAGTGTCCGTTAGCCAGCGAAGATACCCCCTTGGTCAATGGATACTGTCTTGCTACCGTATGATCTGCTTGGAGATTACAGTGACGCAACAGTTAGCCAGCATCATTGGTTGTTATCTTCTTACGTAGGTATATATTGTTTTAGTGGCTGAGCTGAAGGATTCTGTGTCTCTGTTTTTTTTCCGAAGTGCCTCATGGATGGGAGGTGATTTTGACAGATGATTGATGGGGAGTTGAAGCCTGGAGGTGACTCAGCATGTATCCGAATGAGTACGGTGTCTCAGTGAACATTCCTTCGCTTTTATTTTTATATTTTGGAAATTAGAATATAAGAAACAATGAGTACTTACCCATTCTGTGGGTCCAGCACGAGTCCATGTGGTTGGTCGAGCTGCTCTGAAATAAGATCCTTGGCAAACATCCCATCAAGCTTTGCAACTGAGATGACGTCACGTCCAGAATCTGTCCAGTAGATGTTCCCTCCGACCAAATCCAGAGCCAGGCCTAAAGGTGCTAAAAGATGAAGAAATAAAGATTTGGAATTTAAAAATGCGTGAGTGGAGTTTTAATAGGCTTCCTACAGAACCTTACAAACATAACTAATTTTCTGTTTCTGATGTTTTGGCCATCTCCAGTTAACATTTTCGTGTACATGTAGCAAGTGAGACCATAGTCTCGCAAATTCACGCGAGAGCACAGTCTCGCAAGTTCACGGGAGATCACAGTCTCGCAAGTTCCCGGCAGAAGGTGCTCTCGAGTGAGTACCTACTGCCGGGAACTTGCAAGCACGGAAATGAACCACCACGTATTGCTCATATACGCAAATAACTTTGAAGACAGTGAAATTAAAAGAATGCTCTGGTATTTGAAAATGTTACACCTTTGTTGACAATAATGTCAGGCAAGATAGAAATGAGTATTGGTCACTTACAGAGGACACCATCGGTAGCAACGTCTTCTACGCTTCCGGATCCGTTTCGATGTACCCGTGATATCTTTCTGTGTAGAGGGTCGGCCCAGTAGACGTAGTCGGTCTCAGGGTCGTAGTCAAGGGCAACCGGATGTACGAGATGTCCCAGTGGAAGGTTGACCTTTGCCCCGGAAGTGACGTTGATTTGAAAGATGGCGTTAAGCTGGCTGTCGGCTACCAAGAGGAAGTCTGACGTTGGAGTGGGGACATCTGAAAAAGGTTAAGAACTCTTTTAGAAAGCATTTCCATTCAAAGGAGTCTAAGAGCCATGGCAACATTACGAAGTGCATATACAGCCTAATAAATCAAATCAAATTACACAGCATATTATGCAGAATCAAGGAGCTTGTAAGCTTCTTGATCAGTTGTGATTTTTTTACCTCCATGGCCAGTTCATGTCAGGATCGTTTCTGTACCGGATCGGGAGCGTTCCCACTGAAGTAAAGTTGACCGGACCGAAGTCGGATCGAAACCGGTCGCTAATCGATTGGATCTGGACACTTTTTGTCCTAGTGAGAAAAGGGTCTATACCTCTGAGTTGACAGGTGGTCCCGTCCTGTTGCAGGGTCCAGTCATCGTCACACGCGCACGTCCTGCCTCCGGGTCGCGCAAGGCACAGGTGAGAACAGCCTCCGTTAGCTGTCGTACAGGCTAGGAAAAAAAGTAAACAATGTAACCAAAACACTTTCCTCCATTCGCTGTTTTTCTGTGAAGTTGCGTAAATGAAGACCTAGAGTAGAATGGAAGGGTTAAAAGATAGGCCCTGCAGCTGTTGTATCAAGAACCGCGTGTGCTTTACCCCGAGCCATGCTCAGGCACGGTTATGGATGGTCATAAAGATTATCCAGAACCGCACCTGAGGCATCTACGTTTTTCGATAAGCCAAGACTTTCAAGAACCGTGCGTATCTGTATCTGTATCTGTATCTGTATAGCCGGTATAACCGCCTTTCGGCGTAACACACCAGCGTGATCCTAACCCTGACACATTCAGGCATAGAACTAGATAGGCACGGTTCTGGATGCAAAACCAGGAGGACATCATATAGATCGGAAAATGAGATATTTATTACCACCATTACCGTTAGAAATATCTGCCACAGCATCAGGGTTGTGAAGGTGCAGGTCCATCATTTGCCGGAAACCACCACCGATAGGTAAAATCTGTCCCTGCGCCGATGGGTCCTTAGGAGTCCTACAGGAAAGAAAACATACTAATGATGCATAAGATTTGATAGAATTTGAGTCTGCTTTAAACGTATATGCCGTATGTATTTTACTACTATTGATAGAAGGCAACATTGTTATGTCTACGTCAATTGAGAGTCTGTGATTGGTGGAAAAGATATATCGTATTGTTACTTCTGGGAAGGAAGTATTGTTTTGTGTGGCGCTGCTTTAGGAGAGCTCCAATGCATTCACGGCGGCCAAAATACTTCTTGGAATTCTGAAATCTCTTATTACCTTCGCCAAGAAGGTTATGTTTTCGTAGGCGTTCGTGTGTCTGTGTGTGTGTGTGTGTGTATCAGCACGATAACTCAAGAAGGCTAAAATGGATTTTCTTGATATTTGGTAGGTGAATAGGACTTCATGAGATGTGGAACTGATTAAATTTTGGGCCCCCTAGCGGCTTGTTATGGTACTGCAGCTGAAATTCCGGTTTTGATATCTCGTGATCTAGACATGCTAGGGTGACGAAATTTGGATGGTAGGTAGCTCTTGTGCTGGGGAAGAAGTGATGTGAGTTTGGCCTCCCTAGCGGCTTGCTCTGGAACTGCAGGGGCGTTAGTTGAAAAATATTTAAAGGCGGATAACTCTAGAACCGATTGATGGATCGTCGTGATTTTTGGCATGTAGGTAGCTGAAGTGATGCTTAACATAATTATATTATAATTATGCATATAATAATGTAATTTGCATAATTAATGAGGAAATTCTATAAATCAGCTGCATTCCATGATAGGGCTATTCAAGCTTGTGACATATGTAATCAAGAACGGCAGAAATACAGGCAGATATCGATTATACAAATGAAGACTTAATTTGCATAATTAATGAGAAAATGTTATATTTACGTAGTGGTAACTGCCTGGAATTTCATACTTAGGATATTTGAAAGTTATGTGAAGGTGAACATAATTAAACATAACTTATTCAAATAAGGACCTCATTTGCATAATTTATGAGGAAATGCTATATAATAATGGCATTCTTTGATAAGATAAGACTGTCTTCTGGTGTAGAATATGATCAACAGATATAATTGATGCAAATATAGAATCCTATTTGCACGATCAGGGGGATTAATCTATAATTTCTTACTCATAAAGGCTAACATCATTTGGCGAAGGTATGAGATCGTGGAACTCTAGTTTCATGTTATGATAGTTGGTATATCATTTTCATCATTTTGTCATTAGTACACATGTCACCTTGTTATGTGGGTCAATGCCCATGCCGTCCAGTATATGTATGAGTCCTCCACCACGATGCCGAAAAAGTAGAGCTGTTCGTTTGTGGGGCTGAACACAACCGTGGGATTGTTTCCTTGTAGATCCGATCTCATTATTTGGTGAAAGTCGCCATCGCACCAATACAGCATTTGCCCTACATAAAAAAATATAACATTTATTATTTACAAGACTAGTATGCATCCTACCACCTGGTCATACCAGCTGGTTACAACCCTGTCAATCTACTGAAACTCTATCACTTCCCACCCATTTTTAATCCCCGCTGCTCAGGAAAAACATACATAAAAACTCCCTCTGAAACAACACCACCCAAAAACAATACTTCCTCCTAGAAATATATATTATTAACTGCTAATAATCATATGTCTTAAAAAGACTGTAGAGGGATTTACGATTTACAGTCATAAAGTGTGTTTGAATTGACTGTCAGAATTGAATACCCTGTTTGTCAATGGCCAGTCCTCTTGGAAATTTTAGTCCTGTGTTGACCAGTGTTTCTCTGCCAGTCCCGTCCATTGCAGCCCGTTCTATCTTCGCTGGGCTCAGATTGGACGTCCAGTACATGTAGCTGGAGCAAAAACGACTTCCGTTAGAAGGACATAAACACTTGCCACAAGGAATACTCTCAATATCTCATAGACTGCATACAGATTCTTCAATGAACGGCACTCCATTGAAAATACACACACACGCGCGCGCGCGCGCGCGCACACACACACACACACACACACGCACGTGCACGCACGCATGCATGCACACACACACACACACACAGGCACACTCACACACAACACACACACACAAACACACACTCCCACACACAAACACAACACAAACACACAAACACACACACACACACACAAACACACAAACAAACACAAC